GTCATCTCTCTATCATCTATCTACCTATCTACTTATCTATCTATCTATCTATCTATCTATCTATCTATCTATCTATCTATCTATCTATCTCTATAATAATCAAGAAAAAGAGGCTATCAATTTGGAAATGTAAGGGTGGACATGGTAGGGGTTAGAAGGGATTAATGGGAGGGCCTGGAGTGATAAAAGGGAAGTGGGGAAATGATGTAATTATGTTTTAATTTAAAACATATTAAGAATAATGGCTCAAAACTCTGGAAAGTGTTGGGAATATTGCTTTGTTTGTAGAGTTCTTGCCCTTCATGAATGAATCTTTGAGCTAGATTGCAGCACCACATTAACTGGGTGTGAGGTACACTCATGTACCAGCAGATCAGGAGAAATAGACAGAGGATCAGGAATTTGAGGCCATCTTTGGCTACATAAGCAAATTAGAGGGTAGCTTGAGATTTATGAGATCCTGTCTCAAGGAAACAAACCAAACCAAGCCAAACAAAACCGTTACAAAAACTCCAATAAACAAACAAACACAACCCACTCTGAAACCCAAAAACTGTAGTTTTTTTTCCTTAGGCTGCTCTGCTCTGTGTTCCTATACTAATTAAAAAGAAGGACAATCTATGCCACGTAGTTAAGTCTCTTGGACTTATAGTCCTGTTGTAGTTGTGCTCGTAGACTCTGATAAATCACAACATATGACCACATGGGCTTGTGCAAGTATGTGTTATATGTTATATACATATGACCTCAGGTGCATGTGTTTATATGCATGAGATACATATGTGTATATATGCATGAGGGAGAGAACGAATGACCCTGCCACAGTCATGGGTTGATAATGGTCAGCACACTGCAGGCTCGCTGAGGAGCTGTGCAATAGCTATGTTAGACCTAATGACAAAGTGGGAATAAATGACAAAGAGCTTCAGTCATCAGTCCCATTAGCCCACTGTGCCTGGCAGTGACAGAAGCTCAGGGAGCCAGAGCCCTGTCCTGGAGCTTCCTTTGCTCTGGAATGTCTCTTAGATCCCAGATGATGAGCTCACTGGAGCTGGCTGAGTGTGTTTGTGCTCCTCAGCTTCTGTACATAATAATACCACACTGATGGTTGGGGTCGGGAAAGATGGCTCCCAGTGTTTCAATTAGGGACACAGACCCTGAGCTGCGTTGCTGTGAGGCTGGAGTTTCTGCAAACTAACTTGTAGGGAGTGGATGGTGCCAGCTTGTGGACCTCTAGAACTAGTGCTAACTGGAGTTATCACAGTATCTCTACAAATCTTCCTGCAGGGGATTGTCACTATTGCCTTTGGTCCTTTGCTGGCCTTCGAAGGAGCCCCTAAAAGCAAAAACCTGATCACTTGAATTCCATTATCCAGCAGTCCAGCCCTCCTTAAAGGTGAACAACAACAACAACAACAAAAAAATCAGTGTACAAGGGGACAGCGGGGAGAGTTGTGGCAATCTCTTTAAGGTGGAAATTGAGGAAGCTGCTCCTGAGAGCATCTGCCTTCCTCAGGAGGCGTGAGGGATGCTGAGCAGTCTCTCTGAAGGCTCCTTCAGAGGACAGCAGGTAGTTGGCTTTCCTTGACCTTGGAGTGACGAGGGGAAAATGATGCATGGCTTTTAGCTGATGAGTCCACTTTGCAAGACTGCAAGTGCCTACCTCCTCTGCACTCCCCAGTGGGTCGGGAGACACCAGCTTACATTAGAGGCATGCAGGCAAGAGCATCTTCCCTTTGCTTGCCATATTCACAGCAACCCTGTGAGGGAAAGACTTCATTTCTCTCCTCCTACCAGCACCTGCCACTTCTTAAAAGCACCATGAAATAAAAGACATCTGTGTGTGCAAGTGAACCTCAGGGGGCCTCTGAGAATGCATTTGTTTGCTTTTCTAAACCACTGACATTGCAAGTTAGAACCGAGGGCTGAGAAGGCACACTTGGTGCTTGATGTACAGAGACACGGGAAACCCAATGAGCCAGAATGGTCCCCACAGGGGACCAAGGCCTCAGGCAGGGTCGACATTTTTGTGGTCCTCACTTAGCCCTCTCCTAACTCCTGCTGGGGCTATGCAGGCCAAGGAGGAAGCTGAATAAATTAGAGCTAACTCCAAATGTTTCAAAGAGCTATTGGGAAACAGACCAAGTTTCATACATTTCTAGGGCAGGTTAGTATTGTGTAGATCTACCTTGATGGATATTATTAAGAAATGAATCAGCTCCTTCTTTACCTTTTTAATCTCTCTCTCTCTCTCTCTCTCTCTCTCTCTCTCTCTCTCTCTCTCTCTCTCTCTCCTTTTCTCCACTTCTCTTCTCCTCTTCCCTCCCCTTCTCTGTGTTTATGTGCATGAGCTCAGGTGTGTGGATGCCTCATCATCACAAACCCTGGGCTTACAAATGTACCTGGCTTCCCTTTTCACATGGGTTCCAGGGATTCAAACTGAGACCCTCATGCTTGTACTTTACCCAGTGAATCATCTCTCCAGCCCAAAGCATGGCCCAGCCTGGCCTCAAACTTGTGACCTTCCTGCTTCTGCCTATTCAACATATCTTATAGACATGCATCACTATGACTGGCCTAAGAAGTATGATGTGATGGTTAATTTTTTCTCATTTTTTACTAATTCTTTGAGAATTTTGGACAATAGGTCTTGATCATATTCAACTTCCTTCTCCTAACTCCTCCCAAGTTTCCCCACTTCCCTACCTACCCAAAATTTGATAGTCAACTTGATTAGATTAAGGAACATCTGGGTTAGTGGAACATAGTCTGGATGTATCTATGAGCACATCTCCAGGGACCATTAGTTTATGAGGGCTCTGATCTGACTACTGAAGTAATTGTTAATGGATCTGAAATACCATGGTATCATTGGTGAAAAATTAGAGGTACAGCCTTTGGAGGAAGAGAGTCACTGGAGATGTGGCCTTGGGGTTATAGCTTGCCTTCTGTTCTACCTCTGCTTCCTGGTAGCCATGCTGTGAACAGCTACCACGCCTTCCTTGACATGATGGTCTGACTCTTCTGAAAACATGACCCCAAACAAATCCTTCCTCATTTAGGTTGCCTTTGCCAGGTGTTTTATCCCAGAGACATGCAAACAGCCAACACACAGGCCTAGAAAACTCTTCCAAGCACAGACAGTAAAACTAAATCTGTGTCTATGTGTTTCTATATAAATAGAGTTAACATTTTCTGGGGTTCATTTGAGCTAGATAAAACATAAAATTCTTTATGCAAAAATAAAGGGAATATATGTGTATGAAAGGGATCTAATTCTAATAAAGTTATCAAGCCATCAAACATGCCCTGTGCTCAGAGGAAGTCTCCAGTGGAAACATATCACACTCCGTGGTTACTAAGGGTTGGTCCTAACTCTCTTTTTCCCTTGTGGGTGAGGTTATAGTCTAATCATCAAAGTCAGGAAAAAAAAAAAAGAACATTTATCAAATGCCTGCTGTATTCCAGGCTTGTGTAGGGGATGTTCACCAAGACAAAGAAGCCACTGAGAAGAAATAAAGAAAAAAATATATGAGTCTTTAAAACCCATATATATTTAGCTTAGTTGTCTAACTCTCAGTTTGAATGTTTGTTCAAAAAAGTTCTTTTTCATTCTTGTCAACTCTGTTGCTTTCCCATTAAGAGAGGGATTGGCAGGTATTCCCTACATTTCACATGCTTTAGAAAGCAAATGGCAGAACCAAGCTGGAGCGAGAATCAGAAAAGGGAACACACTATCGGAGAAACTACAGGAACTGCCCACAGGAGGGTGAGGAGGGTGGTGGTGTCCTGGCCAACATCATAGTAGACACAGCCTTGAGTCAAGAGAAATGGGAATAGAACATGAGATCACACAGACCAGCACTTTTCTCTCTCAAGCTTTCAGAGTCTCTCTCTCTCTCTCTCTCTCTCTCTCTCTCTCTCTCTCTCTCTGTGTGTGTGTGTGTGTATGTCATGGGCACTTTGTGCAAGCTTGAAGACCTGAGTTTATGCCCTTAGAACCATGTAAAGCTGTGTGCAATGTGATACACCTGCAATCCCAGCACTCCTAGAGTGAGTTGGGAAGACTCCCTTGAGCTCAGGGGTCAGTGATCCTGGTGTACACAACCACAAACAAAAAAGAAGAGAACCTGTCTTAAACCAAGTGGAGGGTGAAGATGGATGCTGAGGTTGTCCTCTGACCTCCACAGGTGCACTGTGTCACACATATGTCTGCACACACACACACACACACACACACACACACACACACACACACACCACATACATACAAATAAATAAGGAAAGAATGAAATAGAAAAAGTTTGGAGGAGTGTGTGAGTGTATGTGTGTGGTATACACACAAATAAGTGCAAGATGTATGCCTGTTACAATAATAGAATATGGCATAATTTAAGAGAGAAGGTGAGAGTCCTCGATTTTTCTCTTTTGTGGTCAAGACAGTCTCACCAGTATCTCCAAGAGGTGTGGACACCCACCTTTGTCCTCCATCCTGGAAACGCACAGAGGTGATGGAGAGGATTGGCACTGTGTCCTTGAGAAGGGTTTAGCAATGGATTTTTAAGTTAATGGACACTACACTTTGGCCCCTGGCTATGTTGCAAAAGTTGAGTTTCTTTCTCACCCAAGTTGCAAACGAAGGCAAAAAGAGCTAGTCTGAGTTTGCTTTCACCCCATGTAATTCTCATTTGCTTTCTCTTTGGTTCCATTTTCCAGCCTGGGATATAGGGAATGTCTGACCTAGTAAAACAAAGCAGAGTGCCATTGTAATTAAATAGCTAATTTTAGACCCCAAACTACTTTTCTGCCAATGACCTGAGCATTTTAGACTGAGGTTTTGGAGGTATCTAATTGTAGCTATGATTCACTTCCATCCAGCTATCCATCCACACTACACACAAGATGCCTTGGCCCAGCTGGCCTGGGACAGAGCTTAGCCAGAGGAAGCCTGGTCTGGCATTGTTTATTGACAAAAGGCAAATAAATATGTGGTTTCTTACAATCTGTTGTGATTTCGTAGGGAGAGTTGAGTCTGGCATCTCCGCAGGGGGACGTGCTCACATAGAGATGGAAGAGGATGTTTTCTCGAAGCCTGTAGCCTCCTTCCTTTAAACGAATGAATATTGATCTCTCGGAGTCCTCTCGGTGTTTGCTATGGACACAAAGAGGATGTAGGTCACTTATGACAAAAGAACTGAAGATGTCCCAATAGGTGCTTTTGTCTTGTTCCGTGGAGTCAGCGGTTCCCCAGCTTTTACCCCCTGTACGCTCTTGTGTTGTTGCCCCTTGCTGGGACACTTTGGGGACAGGCCACAGTAAAACTACCTGGGAACAAACACAATCAGCAGAAATGTTTCCATCTCCACCCTCCCTGAACATTCACACTTGAGGTCTCTCTCTCTCTTCCGTGTGTGTGTGTCATTGGTCTGGAACTCACCATGTAGGCTAGGCTGGCTGGTGAGCCTCAGGGTCTCCCTGTCTCCGCCTCCTCAACTCTGGGATTATAAGCATGTAGCACCATGCCTGGCTTTTTTTTTTTTTTTTTTTTTCATTTTCTTTTTAGGCATGAATTCTGAGTGTCACACTTTGGTCCTTGTTCTGTTTGAGAATCACTTTACAAACTGAATTCTCTCTCTCCAACCATACGTTTTAAGTTTATCTTTTACAAGCCAGTACCTATCATTATAAACCATAATCCTCTGTATCTGCGAGGCCCCGTTCATGGAGTATCCTGGGACACTACTGACTAGAGTAGTCTCAGTGGGTACTAGTGTGTGCAGTAGAGAGAAAAGAGATTTTAAACAGTGTCTGAACTTGGGTACTAGCAAACTAGGCAGAAACGCCAAACCATGCAGAATTGGCTTTTTTTCTTTTTTCTTTATCGTTCGGGGTAGATCTAGAACAAACTCATGCCTCCTAATCTTGGGACTTTACATGCTCTTGCTTCAGGAAAACCTTCTTCATAGCCCTTAACCCTGCATCTCAGCAGCCCTGCCTTCCCAAGGAGGGATGATATCACATGGGTACTGAACAACTGAGCTGTGGTTTTTCTCCCAGACCCCTCAGCATGCCCCTGGCAGTCTGCTTTCCATCATTCTTGCTGTTTGTACTAGTTCTGCCCCATTGGTGATGGATTCTGCATTGCAGGGCCTTGAGATCTCACAGGCAGCAGAATGAACATAGTGTCCCCAGGAAACCCTCGAGGCTACTACAAGCTCATGTGCGACTACCTCTTCCCTTGTGCCCAAGTGGACTCCTCCATCATGTGTGGCTCTTCTTCCACAGCCCTGGGAGCAACTGCATGCAGTCTTGGTCCCCCAGTGCAGAGCCAGACCCATTAAGGGAAACTTTACTTGTTCTTGAGGCCCTTTGCAACCATTTTTGGTACCCTCCTGCAGAAAAGGGATGGGGTGTGGCTGTCTTTGACTTTTCCAGATAGTTGTGCAGTGCCTAAAATGCATCCAAGTCTGGGCAAAGTTGACTGGATTATCTTCTGTGACACATATAGGAGGTAGAGGGAACTGGAGAACATTTCTAACTGAGAAGTTGGGTAGTCGGTAGAGATTCTTCCCCACATTTTGAGAGCTTTCCAGCTCTTGCCTATTCCATTTGACCTTTCACTAGGCCTCCTGGAACTGATATGGCAATATATCATGCTGGTATGTGGTGTGCAGAGGCTCAGATAAAAATTAATTGAGTGTATTAAAGTATTGCCTTTATTCGAGTCTGTTTGGCATATATTAGGCCTTTTTCCCTTTTGTGTGACTTCTATACATGCTAACAGGATCATGTGAATGAGCCACTCACTGAAGCCCCTCTGAGATGCCGTTATTAGTGGGTTCAAGGAACCCTGTTTCATATGGTAAGAAAAGGGAAGCTGGAAGATGCAAGGAATGAATGTTCTGTCAAAGAGACCCACAGCAATTCAACTACTGGGACTAGCTTGCTTCAGAAGTGTGTATGAAGTGCCACATGATCAAATCTACCTGGGTTTCTGCTGGAGTTTATTGTGTCTTCCAGAGAGATTCCAGCTCATGTGACAGCCTGCTTTTTCCTGATGGCTGCCATTAGAACATCAGAAATTCCAGCATTGTAGCACATTTCTTAGCACCTCTTCATTCTAGAAAATCCTTGTTAAAGTGTATGTGGCAGGCTTAGGAGATGGCTTGGTTGGCAACCATAAAGATCCAACTTTGTTTCCTAGAACTTAGGTTTAAAAAAATCCAGGCTTGCTGGCGTGCACTTCTGATCCCACTACCAGGGAAGCAGAGAGACTGAGCTGATTGCCATTCCTCACTGGCCAATCAGATTATCCTATCTGATTGGCCAATCAGACTATCCTATCTTTCAGGTCGGTGAGAGGTCCTGTCTCAAAACAAACAAGGTAGATGGCTTCTGAGAATGACATCTGAGATTGTTTTCTGACCTCCATGTGCAAACATACACACATACAAGCATACATATACACACACAAGTGTACACGATTTTGGTCATATTTCCTGATTTGAAATCTAGAAGTCTAGAGAATGGAATGTATTTGGTTCTGTGGGGATGTGAGGAGAACTGAAGTCACCAGGACAAGGTGACTTGACTATGTAGGACAAGGCCTACAAAGTATTGAATGCCTACATCAAGATGGCCACTGTGTATTTTTGTGAGAGCCATTTACCTTTGGTTTGCACAATGAAAGCAGCCTGGCCCCGAGATTAGGACTGGTGACAGGAAATAAATGACAGCCCATTTATGAGCTGGGCCCCTGAGAGATGAACCTTACTAAACACGAAGAACCCTGATCTGTCAAAGAAACTATGTTGGCTGAGAAATTCTCAAACCCAAACTGACCAGGGAGCAGAGGGAGCCCTCTTCCCTTTGTAGAAATAACTGAACTGTGAGTCCTGCTTAAAGTGGATACGATTTTGTCAGAATTGAGCAGAGGTGTCATTGTCAACCTGGCGCCTTTCCATGGCTGAAATGAAAGTTTTTGCCAGGGAGCAAGCGCATCGATTCAAGTCATCTCACATTGTACCAAACACTCTTTCAGTTCAATCAATGGAATTATGGTTCCAGAGAGCAATGACTCCCATTTCCTGAGAGACAGCAAAGTCGTGTTTCCTTCTTTTCTTCCCCCTTCCCTCTCTTCCTCCCTCTCTCTTCTTCTCTCCCTCGCTCTGTCCTTCAACTTCTTTTCTCTATGTTTTTCCTTGTCTTGTCTTCTCCCTTTTTGGTGGTTGCACTTTTTTGCGAGAAAACTTCTGTGATCCGTAGGTGGCTCCTAGAAATTGCATTGTTATCTTGTCCCATTGAATTTATATTGGAGTAGCTGGTTGGGTAAATAGCTTATTGAAGGTCTGTAAGATCCAGGGATGGCTGTGCCCTGTGGTCTAGTTGATATCTGTGTTTCATAGAGGAAATTGTTGTTTGAGGGATGCTATAGTGGCTGGCCGAATGTTTTAATTGAAAAATAACCAAATGGAATGAGCCATGACAAGATGTATTCCTGTGTGTCTATGCCTGTGGGCACACGTGTGGTAACCTGTGTATGTAACCTGTAGGCAAACAGCATGTTTCCTGAAGTGAGATGTTGAGTGTAATGCAGACATCTGGTAATTTAACACTTCAGTGTCTGTGTGGTATTCAAAGGGTGCTCCAAGTCTGAATAAAAATAGATGCTATGTGGTGCGCAGTTACTTACAATGTATGGGATCTGCCAAGATAAGTGGATGACACATTTTGAGCTGGCTGTGGGACTCCTTTCCATGACCTAGTTCCCTGGCTTCTCACTAGCTAAGGCATGTTGGTCCTGCCCATGCTAGGGGCCCCTTTACCTCAAGTGCAGCTCCAGCTGAGTGTAGAGGAAGTGAAGAAATGCCCGCCTGGCCACAATTTCAGCATGGCAGTCGTTGACAACGAGCCCCTGGTCACTGATGTGCTCGCCGCTGATACACTTGGTCCCAGAGGAGAGGACGATGACCTGCGCTTGTTTGGTGTCCAAGCCTAGGGGACACAGAGGGTGGTCAGGACAGCTTAGGCTTCAAGGACCCCACTGCAGGGAACTTCTCAACCTTCCTGTAGCACCAGCCATGGTGTTTATCTGACTGACATTCACGGTGGTGTGATGATTAATCTTTATTGTCAACTTGACTATATTTAAAATCACCTAGGAGACTTGTGAGCCATACCTCGGGGTATATTTATGAATCTGTTTCCAGAGATGACCAGCTGAGAGGGAAGTTTTGTTCTGGATGTGATGGCAGCATCCCTTGGGCTGGGAACCTTTGTGGAACTAAAGGTGGTGCCAGAGAAAGGGGAGTGTGGATAGTCTCTTTTCTCTGCTTCCCAGCCCACTGGGAAGAAAGTTTCTCTATTCTATTATGCCGTCCTAGACACGATGGACTGAAATCTCTGAAACCATGAACAAAATAAATAGCACGTCCCTTTAAATTGTTCTCAGCTGTATCGTCACAGCCATGCAAAAGTTAGGTCCTGAGCTGACAGACATCATTCTGAGACCTTGAGACTGGGAACAGCATGGTCACCCTTGAGTTTTGTCCCAGTGGCTGCTGGCCTGGTGGGAAGAAAGGATTTTCTTTTTCTGTAGCAGAAGCTTGTGGAAATATTTATATCAGAAACAAAGGAGTGACAGCTACAGCCAAACCTGTCTCTGGAGAGAAACTAGGGCACTGTAGGGGTTCTTGTTGAGACCTTAAAAGGGAAGAGGTTGGGCTTAGTCACATGTGCGATAACAATCCAAATTCTACCCCCAAGAAATTCTGCCACAGGCCCCTGCCCTCCAGAATGACAGCTGTGTATTCATTGAGAGATTCACTGAGAAGGAAGTACACAGGGAGTAGGTGTGCAGAAGGCGGTGAGGGCATAAGAAGGACTCTTAGCCTGGGCTTTGCCTTGCAGACACATCTGTATTTTCAGTGGAGAGGTGGCCCAAAGTGGGATTTGAATATATGTCCCTCACAGGTTCATAGTGGGTAGTAGTGCTGTTTGGGAAGGTTGTAGAACATTTAGGAGATGGAGCCTTCCTGGAGGAAGCGGGTCACCAGGGACAGGCATTGAGATTTTATAGGCGGCCCTGCCTCCTATCCGCTGTCTGCTTCCTGACAGTGAGTGCATGATCAGCCATCTTTTTTTTTTTTTTAAAGATTTATTTATCATGTATACAGTATTCCCTGCAGGCCAGAAGAGGGCACCAGATCTCATTACAGGTGGTTGTGAGCCACCATGTGGTTGCTGGGAATTGAACTCAGGACCTCTGGAAGAGCAGTCAGTGCTCTTAACCACTGAGCCATCTCTCCAGCCCGATCAGCCATCTTTTGCCACGTATGCCTTCCTGCCGTGATGCGCCTCAGCCTCTGGAACTATAAGCCACAATAAACCCTTCTTTTCTTATGTTGCTTCTTGTCAGGTTTTTGCTGCAGCAATGGGAAAAGTTAGCAGTATACAGGATGTTGGGGAGACACCCGTGCCTATGTGAGGTCTACAGACACTGGCCTTTATTTCCTTCAGCTTTCAGGATCCTTGTGAGCAGTGAAATTCAGATGAGCTCCATTCCTTCACTTTCTACCCAAAATGCACTTTTCTCTCCGAGTCCTGCTGAACTCTGCCCTCTGTTTTACTCAGTACACTTTTGAACACTGTGGGGACACTTGCCTTTCAAAGTGTCATACCTCAGCAGAGGTCAACCCTGAAGCTAGAACAAGGTTCAGAGGTTTGGAACACTCAGGAGTGTGTGGTTTGTACACATTTGTGTCTCAGAAGCAAGGTGAAAAGCAGAGCATGGCTATGGGGTTGATGTTTAGGCCTCTCGGGGCACATAGGTATAAAGGCTTCTGATACACCACAGGGTCAAGTTCAGAACAGTCCCCTCCATAATCACATTTCACAGGCTGGGGCTGGGGCTGATGAAGTGGTGTCTGAGGGGTGCGTCCCTTCTGTAGGTTATCCTGTTAAAGGTTGGACACCCTATCAGCAGGGAGTGGTCAGTGTAGACAGAATGACCAGTCCCACTCTGAGGCTACCATAATTGGCTGCAGCCTCGAGAAGGAGCTTTGAGCTGTGTCCATGGCAATTGCTTGGGATCTGGGCTTGGCTCTGATCTCATTCCAGGGACTGTGCTTTAGGGGCACATGTCTGTATGTATGTCCTGAATCTTCAAATGTCTTTTCTCTTTGTATATGTTCATTGTACATGATACTGTACTACTTAAGAAAATCTAAAAGTGTTTCTTTGACAGTTTCATATATATGTAAATATAATATATTTAAAATATAAATATTATATATATATAATACATTCCAATCACATTAATTTCTTTACCCTTTCTTATCTCCATTTGACCCCCACCAACCTCACTTTTTCTGACAAGGCTCCATTGTCCCACTTTTATGTCTTTTTGTTTTGTTTTTGGCTTATTTTGTGACCCTCTGAGTTTAATCAGAGCTGGATGGGTATCCATGGGCTCATGGGCACTCACCAGTGAGTACTCCCTGAAGACAATGACTTCTCAGTCCCAAGTAGCCACACACTGTCCATATCTTCCAGGGAGAGGCCAGCCCACTTGAGTCCCTCCCATATCGTTGATAGACTATGATGGGCCTGCTCTTGTACAGGCCCTGTACAGGCAGCTGCAGCTGCCATGAGTTCCCGAGTGCAATGGCCAACTCATGCCCAGAAGACAGCATTTTATGGTTCTGCTCTCTATTGTCTGGCTCACACAAAGAACATCTTACTGTAAACATATATTGTACACTTGATACATTTTCACTATATCCTCTATCTTCACTGTTCTCACCACTCCCTCACCCATGAGTGCCCTTTGTCTCCTTAGACATGTCTGCTCCTATTTTTATTATATATATGAAATATATATGTATATGTACACACATATATGAAATATATACATAAATATGTATATATACATGATTTTAGGTACCTATAGAAAAATCTATACTTCCTGAATCATATACCTAAGAATAATGTCACAAATTCATAAAAACAAAGGAAGTGAGGGGAGATTCCTATTGGAAATCATAAAGCTTTCTCCCTCCTCCTGGAGCTGCAGGAGAGATGGGAGGAAGCAGGCGGCATGGCTTCCTTCTGTACACATCTGGCACTTTCTGTGTCCGAGAGGCAAATCTCCTCCCAACTCTTAGTCTGCATAGAGGCACCCAAGGAGCAGCCCCATATTATTTCTCTCCTTTCTGGTCTATTTAGGGGTCATACAACTGCTGGTCTTTGGGGCTTATAAAACCTGAGAAGCATGTATTTTTTTATGGGGTGATTTATAGAGCTATGAAAGTGAGCTTCTGCTGGTGACCAACGGAAAGAATTACAACAGTTCCGTCAAGACTGCCAGAGGCCATTTGTAAAATACCGCCAGTTATCATCCTGTTGTTTAAACACTCTCAATACACGACAAAAGCAGGGAGTTTTGAGGCCACACTTACTGAACAGCCTCTTAAAATTTTCTTTGAGGTGTCAGAGAGATGGCTCAGTGGATCAACTGCAAGCTGTGCAACTGTGAGGACCTGAGTTTGAATCCCCTGAAGTGATGTAGAGTCAGGTGCCCTTGCCTGCATCAGTCACCCCAGCACTCCTACAGGGAAATGGGAAGTGAGGACCAGAGAGGCTCTGGGAGCCGGTAGGACAGCTAACCGGCAGTGACGAACTACAAGACGCCCTGTTTCCAACAAGATGGAAGGTCAGGGCTGTCACCTCAGGTTGATCTCTGACCTCCACAAGTCTACCATGGCATGAAGCTACACACACACACACACACACACACACACACACACACACACACACACACACACACA